CTTCTCTAGCTCAATGGCTCCCTCCCTGAGGTACTGAGACCAGACCTGCACATAGCACTGAAGGTGAGTGTGTACAGGACAACATAGCCCCAAATGACGCTGTTGCATTGCTCTCTGTCTCCTCGCTGCTGATACATTTTGTTGGCTTTTCTGACTACTGCTGCACACTGGGCCCATGATTTTGAGAGCTGTCAGTCCGGACTCCAAGATCTTTCCAAAGTTGTAACTGCCAGTTGCACGTTTGGCATTGTGTAGCATGGTTCAGATGATTTTTCCCTAGAAGCATTACTTTGCATTTATTTATATGGATCACGTGGCTCATCTGCCACCTTTTGCCCATGAACTCAGTCTGAGGAGTGCTCCTGGAGTTCATCAGCACTGGTGCATCATTTGGCTACTCTAACCACATTGATAACCTTTTCTTCATCCCAGAAGAGTTTATACCAACCACAGACTTTGACATAGTATCTTCAGATTCCCATATATGCTCTTTTATGCTTTGTAGCTGTTTTCTGCATGGTTTGATTCTTGATCTGTTGCCTTCCTCCAGGCCGTAGTCATGATCTCTAACAGCTGGGCATCCTCACCAAGCAGTTGAGTCCAACTGTAAGATAACCTGTTTCTCCAACATGTTCTTCTTTTTGTATTTTGAATTTTTCAAGAGGAACTATTAGAGGAACTTTGCTCAGATGAGTGTTTAACCAAAAACCTTCACAGTTGCAGAGTCTGGTAGTTCACCTTCTTGAGTATCACCAACAGTCAGGTGTGAATGAGGACTTAATTATTGTTTAGGAATATTTTCTTCTTTCCGAATGTCCTTGCACAGTACATGCAACTATCTGACTAATTTCCTCTGTGATTAGCCTTGCTCTATAACATTCATTATTGGCCTTCTATTTTATTTTAGCCTCTTGACTGCTTTTTCACCTACTTTCTGCAAGACGTGATTCTTGCTGGTCAGGCTGAGTTGCAGTTTCCTGATTTTTGAGCACCTGCTTGTTTGTATTCCATCTTTCACATATGGCTTGGCAAAATTGGACAGATACTTTAAGGTTGTCCTCTGGAAGACCTGTAGAGTGCTATTCCCTCTGTTTTGGTCAGCAGCAGGCATGTTATTTTTTGAGCAAGATTTTCTTTGCAGATTTTGTAACCTAACCCAGCTCTCGCACATTTCTGGCCAGTTTGGTTGTGGCTTTGGGCTGACATTCTTCTGGCCAAAGGTGTTTGAGAGAGTCACAATCAAGTCAATTTGTCCAGCTTCCCCAGGTAAGCGTGGCAATGAGAATCTCTGCACCTACTGTCCAGTGTCATATTTTTCCTTGTCTTTCATGGCTGGGTCCTTAGCATGCTTAGTAAAGCTAGTGTTAATCTCTTCTGTTGCTGCTTTTTCATGCTTTAGATACATAGTCAAGGAGTGCCCAACAGCAGAATAAAATTGCCTTATGCTGGCTATGATTTGGTTTCTTACGGCTTTTTCTAGGAGTTGTTCGTATATGGTCACGTTTGAGACACATTGGACAAAAAGCTCTCTAACCACATTGATACCTTTTCTTCATCCCAGATCTTACTAAGCTATAAACAATTGAAAATCAACATTTTCCATCTGTCACTTGAGCTGTCAGCAAAAACTTCAACAGCCTGCCAAAATACTAATAGAATATGAATACTCCGGTCTAAACCAAACTGCTTCTGCCAAGCAGTGCCAGCAGCTAATGCTCCCCTCGAGACCACACTCTCACTCAGGCTTTTGCCAGAAGTGCTGCAACAGGATGGAGAGGAGGGAGAAAATCTCACCTTTTCAGCCCCCAGGATCAAAACTTCTCGTTCTTACTCCTGTCTATATTCTAGTAACCTAAATAATCCAAACTGCTGCCCATTTGGGTGGACATGTTCAGATGATTAAAACTGAAACAGAAAGCATAGGCGTGTTCTATCACTATTTCTGTTCTTTATTTGGAAAGGAGCAGGGTGATGTGCATGTATCACATGCAGATGATGAAATACTTTCCAATCCATTAGTAACTGAGGCTGTCAGCATCTTCCAGGTGGTATTTTTTATGGTTTTTTTTTTCATTTTTTAATTTTATAATATTGAGGAAATGCCAGAAGACTAGCAGAGTGCTCATATTCAGAAGGGGCAAGAAGGATGATCCGGTTAATTATAAACCTGTGAGGCTGGTATCAGTTGCTGGCAAAAAATGGACAAGCTCGTACTGTAATCAGCTGATTAATTAAAGGGTAGACCAGAAAGTCTCATAAAACAAATTTAATTTCATTCTTTGAGGTGACAGGCTTGTTTGATAAAGGTAACTGTTCAGATGTAATGGATTTCTGTAAAGCCGTTGTTTACTACTGTATAACATTCCCTTTACAAAATTAGTGGTTAACAAAATCAGTGAAGCACATGTTAAGTGGTTCACGAATTTACTAAGTGACAGGTCTTGACAAGTAATTGTCGGTGAGGAATCATCACTTGCTAGCTGTTTCTGGGTGGTCTGTCTAGGATTTAGTTCAAGACCTGATACTATTCAGTATTTTCATAAATGTTATGGAAATAAACCTGAAATCACTGCTAATTAAATTTACAGATGACCTAAGGTCTGAAGTGTTTCGTAATGAGGGAGTGGAGCAGATCTGCAGAGTGAGCTGAACCACTTAGCAAGGCAAACTGCATAAAACAAAATTGATACAGCCACATGTAGTTCTGCATCTCGGAAAAAGCACTGCAAGGCAAAGCCACAGGATGGGAGGCAGTTACCAGGAAAATGGTGACTCTGAAAATGACTGTAGGATTATGAAAACTGTGAGTACTCACTGAAGGCTGTGGCAAAAGTGCAAATAAGATCCGCAGATGAAAGAAGCTAGACAAAAAAGTGGAAGCAGTACTGGAATACTCCATGCAGCCCTCATGTCTGCTGTTTAAATTTATTTTAAAAAATTAAAGAGCTTGCAAAGAATAACCACTGAAGTATTTTAGGATCAGGAGAAAATACGGGATAAGCGTGCTCTAGAATTTAATCATTCGATCCAGTTCATCCAAGAAGAAGATTAAGAGGTGATTTAACTAGAGTACACTGGTAATTTCATCACAATCGAATTTTCTGAGGAAAATATATGTTTTTCAAGAAAACTGAATGGAGGAACTATTTGAAATAAAACAGTAATTTAAAAGCATTGTATCTTAGAAAATATTGATGTTCCATTTCAGAATCTAGTTCAATGCCTTTTTTCATTTTTATATTTTTACACTTTTTCATAGGAAGCAGAACTATTGCTTACAAATTATAAATGTTATAATGACCTACATATTTTTAGTTATTTCAACAATAGCAGTTCAATCTATTGAATTAGTCCTGAAGTAGTATTAATTACTACCCCTTAGACTTTATTTACTCTAAGACAAAACATCTCCAGCTAGTTTTGAAAAAAATAGAAAAAAAAATTCTTGAAATGTCAAAGTTTCCAACATCTTGAAATTCTGCATTTTAGTCTGTCGTACATTTGATCGCAGTATACGTGCTCTAGAATGCAGAGGATGATACTATTAGTAAGGAGGGTGGGACTGTGCAGTAAAGAAGAGTACGACAAGAACCAGTGACAGAAAATCAATTTCTTGCTAGTTTAAAGTAGGAAGAGATTTTTTTTTTTAAGCAGTGGGAATTGCTAAACGTTTGGAGCAAACATTCAGGGGAAGGGCTGAATTCTCCATCTCCTGGTATCTTGGAATAAGGACTTGAAAACATTTTTGTGGGGCTGATGAGAGGCATAACTGAGTGAAATTCAAAAGCCTGCGGTATGCAAGAGAGAATGGAGTGCTTCTGGTCTTTAAATTTAGGGTGACAAAATTAATGTTGCATGGACAACCTAAATCCTGTTATTTCCTAACTTTTGAGTGCTTCACTTCTGGAAGCGTATGTTCTCTTAGCATAAACATTTATATTTTTATTGTAGTACTGCTCGTAGATAATCATTTTTCTTGTTTACCACCATTAATTATCTAATGTCTACAGTAATAGCAGCCCAGGAATATACAAGAGATGTGAAAAGTGAATGCCAAAGTGTGCAGTCCAGTCCTTTTTTTTTACAAAGTGGGTAACTAAGTCACAAAAATTGAAGCCAGTTTTTCCGGCTGTGGACAATCTAAACTGTGGCATTCTCATCCCCATTCTATCTAGACCTCGTTTGTCAGAGTGAGGCTCCATTCTGTTAATGCACAGTGACAAACTCTTGTTCACTGCTACTTGTTAAATGTCTCTAAGTAGTGAGACTTTATTTATTTCTTATTTTCCTGTCTTAGTCTTATTACCTAGTGTGGTGTCACAACCAAGTACTTATCATCTAAGGAACTGATATATTATACTAGGACTAAAAACAGCGACATGAGTGAGCTTCCAGTACATCTCCTGTAGACTGCTAGAAAGGTTTGATTGACATGCTGACAGCTAGAGGGGCTGTATTTTTGGGTTGCCCAGATAAGTTTCTCCATCTGTGAAATACGGATTTTTACTGTTGAAGTCAGGGCAGCTGAACTGTTCCACGTGAGAGGCTCTGCTCTGAACCCCGTCTCTTGTTCTATGCTGATGCAAGTGTATTTCCAGTGTATCTTGCAGGCCTGGGACACAGCCCAAGACCTGCAGATCCAGGAACCTTCAATACAGTTGCCAAATACCCAGACAGAACTTGGAAATGCCCAATTTTTAGTCATCCGTCTTGACAGCCCAGTAGAAGGGAGGAAGTTCAATTCTTGCTACCTGGCAGTAGTCCTGGTGCATGCTGGTTTCTACTGTCCTGTTGCAGCTTTCCCAGCTTCTTCAGAAGGCTGAGGTCACAAATAGGGTGAAATCCCATAGGGATAGTTTAAATATGAAAACGTGCTATGATGGAGCATAAAAAGATTTGCAGAGATGCAAAATCATCTGATTTGGGTCTTGTCATCAGGCAGTATCGCCCTCTGTGTCATAGGCAGTTTTTATACTGGTCTGTTTCTGTTTGTGTCCTAGGTGAATGGTGTGAACGTGGTGAAGGTGGGGCACAAGCAGGTGGTCTCATTGATCCGACAAGGGGGGAATCACCTGGTGATGAAAGTTGTTTCCGTCAGCCGCAAGCCAGAATCAGAAGAAGTTGTTCGGAAAAAGGGTAGGTGTAGAGTTTCCTGGTATTCTGAATAGTGGGGTTTGCATGGCTTAAACGTAAGCAGACATGCAGAAGCATGGGGGCCTATCGGGATAAGTCTGCACAGCCTACAAGATGTGTAGTGAGGACAGCTTGACAAGGCTGCTGAGCTGTAGCGGCTGAGAGAGGAGGACACTGTGTACAGAGTACCCACCCATACCAGCCTGGCACTCACCCCTTAAAGTGGAGCCACCCTTTACTGAGGGTATGAAAACTCCTGAGTGCGTAGCACCGATGAGCTGTGCTGAAACCAGGATGTGCGTTGTAGTGGGGATGTAACTAGGGAGTGATGCAGTCAGGACAGTCTTTAGGTGGGGAGGCTGAGTCGGAGCCTTGCAGCTGCTGCCGGGGAAGCTGGGCACAGTCAAGGGCAGCCTGCCAAGCCTCCTGAAAGTCCCTTTCAGCACCAGGCCACAGGACCCCAACAGCTCTGTTCTCACTCCGGTGGTGTTTGCTCTCAGTAAAGCTCGGAGTTGGCTCCTCCTCAGGAGCAGAATTGCTTCTGGCACCTACAGTCTAGGTGGTGACCCATATGGCCCCAGGTCTGTCCTGGGGGCACAGGGGCTTCAGGGAGCAGAGACTCCCTCTGCTTTGAGGGATGTCATGGTGGAGAGCTGCCTCTGCTGGGGGTGAGAGGTTGTCATTGGAAAACTGCTGTTTTGGGAGGTAAGGGGAGTCGCGATGGAGAACTGCTCCTGCTGGGAGTCTGGGGGGTGACATGATGGAGAACTGCCTCTGCTGGGGGTGAGGGATTGTCAAGATGGAAAATTGCTTTTGTTGGGAGTAAGGAGGTGTCATGACAGTGAACTGCTCCTGCTGGGAGTCTGGGAGGGGGTCATGGTGGAGAACTGCTCCTTCTGGCAGTGGGGGGTTACTATGGTGGGAAATTGTTCCTGTTGGGGGTAGGGGGGTTGTGATGGAAAACTGCTCCTGCTGGGAATCTCGGGGGGGTCATGGTGGAGAACTGCTTCTGCAGTGCATATAGGGAGTGTCATTGTGGAGAACTGCTCCTGCTGGTGTTGGGGGGTTTGCCGTTGTGGAAAATTGCTCCTGTTGGGGGTAGGGGGGATTATGATGGAGAACTACTCCTGCTGGGAGTCTAGGGGGCGGTCATGGTAGAGGACTGCCCTGCAGGCAGGGGTGTGGGGGGTGTCATGATGGAGAGCTGTCCCACGGGGGTGCAGGAGGTGTTGTGGTGGAAAACTACCTCCATGGGGATATGGGGAGGGTCATGGTGGAGGACGGCACCCGCAGAGGTTCGAGGGGTGTATTGGCCCCATGAGAGTGCAGGGGCATCAGGGTGGTGAATGATCCCCGGGAGAACTCTGGAGGTAAAGAGTAGTCCTTGTGGGAGTGTAGGCAGTGTGGGGGGTATCAGGGTGGAGAATAGCCCTCATAGGGATGTTGAAGGTTTCAGGGTGGAGCCTGTCCCTGCTTGGGAAGTTGCCATGGATGGGAGCTGCCCCATGGGCTGGGGGGCTCCTGGGGGGCACGGCCCAACTTGGGACTGCCTGTGCGGAGAGTGCAGGCAGTTGTGGAGCCTCTAGAAGGCTTTGGGGCTTGTGTCCCACAGTCCCCTGTGCCCTGGAGCAGAGCTGAGAACCTCAGCCAGAGGCTGGGCCTGGGGGACAGTCTGATCCTGGGCTGCTGTGCTCTTGGCCAGCAGGGACAGGGCGGCTCTTGGCGTAGGGAGTAGCCAGCTGTGCACGGTGGGGACACATCGGAGGGCAGCCAGCTGAGCACAGTAGAGGCACATCTGGGGGCAGCCAGCTGTGGAGGATAAGGGCACGCCCCAGGGCTAGCCAGCTGTGCAGGGTGGTGGCACACTTGGGGCAGCCAGCTGTTGCAGCTGTATGCTGACCCAAGGGTAGTCAGCTATACAGGGTGGAGGCACATCTAGGGGCAGCCTAGGCTGTGGAGGCTAAGGGCACATCTCAGTGGTAGCCAACTGTGCGGGGTAGGGGCACATCTGGGAGCAGCCAGCTGTGCAGGATGGGGGCTCATTGGGGGCAGCCGGCTGTGGATGGTGGTAAGGCACATCCGAAGCAGAGCTAGCTGTGCAGGGCAGGGGCACGTCTCGGGGCAGCCAGCTGTGGAGGCTAAGGGCACATCCCGAGGGGGGCCAGCTATGCAGGGCAGGGGCACATCTGGGGGCAGCTGGCGTCGGCGGGCAGG